CCCCCCCCCCACCGGGGGCTTCGCCCCCTGGACCCCCTTTTCTCGTGGGGGGCTTCGCCCCCCACACTCGCCCCCCCCCAACCCCCGAACTTCATCACGCACTTATCATATAAAATAGTATACGCAACATGTGCGGACAGCAGGCGGTATCACTCGGGCGGCTGCGCCGCCCTCGTGAGTAACCGCCTGCTTTCCACACTAGTTACGTAATGTACTAATAATAGCTGTTCCCTAATTATCAGATTGAACAGCGATTTCACGAAATTTCCATTTTTTAGAGTTTAATATCACACAAACTATGTTCCGCAAAATTTTGCAAAAAATTTACCACATCCGGAATTTATCAATCTACCACGAAATCGTTTTTTAAGAACACCGTAAGAACCGTTTTCTCATAAGATAAAAAAATCAAGACAAAAACCCGTTTTACTCTTTCCTTACATAAAATCTACTATTGATTTTAACATCTTGATTTATTGTTTATTCATTATAGAATGTTCCTGCAATAATGTTCGCTGGAGAGGCAACTCACGAGTGTTTTTACTCAACAACCCACGGAGCCTTCGATTCTGGGCGATCCCAGGCTCTCAACTTTCTGCGACACCACGTATGGGAATGAAAATAGTTCAATATTTCAGTTAAAAATTTTACCATTAAAGTACAGTGGACTCTTCTTAATTTCCATAGCTCAGGGGGTGTCCTTGAAGCCATTGTATGTGAAATGTGAGTAAAAAAGAGACCCCCACTCCGCCAGTTCGGGCGGCATTAGAGCACTGATCTCTATACTACATAACTGGATAGACTATTCGTGATCGCAACGTAGATGTGGGAGCCACCAAGTGGTCTCTGACCTAACTACTCTTGGCGGGCAACCAATGAGATCTCTGGATTTTCCGTGATCTCATTGGTTGACACCCATCATTGGTTCAGTCATCAGACTCTCATTGGTTGCCTGCCAAGGGTAGTTAGGTCAGAGTTCACTTGGTGGCTCCCACATCTACGTTGCGATCACGAATAGTACATTACATGCCCGAGCCTTGGAAAACAGATCCCCGCCCCCCACGTGCAAGATTCCCTTCCGAGCCGAAGGCGAGGATGGCAAGCACGTGGGGGAGGGTGATATGTTTTCCATGGCGAGATGTGTATATTAATTTTCATGTCGAGGGACCTAAAAACGCCAATTTCGTGGCGCGCAGCCAACTAAATTTTGAAATAAAAAATTAGTATCATTGAAATAAAAATGTGTATTCAATAGCAAATAATTTAGTGATCATAATAAACAAGTTTTCAGAATTTATGAGGTCATTGTTTTAATAATAAAAATAAAAATAAATAAAAATAAAAAACTACTACTGTCGTTCATGCGCGCTAGACCGAAGGCTATGGAACCATGGTGGGGTATTGGCATATAATCCAGCCCTAAACTGATGCTGTATCCATTCTGATGATTGGAGTAGGTAAAAATTCTGCAGACTCCTAGACCTCACTGGGCAATGTTGTCACAACTCTGGTTTTCAACTCTGAAACCAACTCAGAGTTTATAGCAGAGATGTCAGACAAGATGTCAATATTTTTTGAGGCCCGAGTGCAAGAGCGGGTCGCGAAATCGCGTGCAGATGATTCTAAACATGATTTTTGAACCAGGGGAGACTCCTAGACGCCACTGGAGAAGATTGGTACAACTCTGGTTTTCAACTCAATTGTCAGAGTTGAAAAGCAGAGTTCATAGCAGAGATATCAGACAAGATAAGAATGGTTTTTTGGGCCCGAATGAAAGAGCGAGTCTCGAAGTGGCGTGCAAATGATTCTAATGATGATTTTTGATCCCGGGGAGACTCCTAGGCCCCACTGGACAATGTTGGCAAAACGTTGTACTGTTATGTCTCATCGATTTTTCTTCCGTCAAACGCTTGATATGAAGCTTCCGAATGAAAGATATGCGTTTTCACAATAGTGGAAGGTAATCCTCTCCTTTTACTCTGGCCAACCTTGCATGGTATTTCATTTAAAACTTACGTATTTCATCAAATCCATGTAATTTTATAAAATAAGACTTGAATGAAAACAATGATTATTTGTTTAATGTTTTTATTTACGTTTAATGTTTTCATTACTTTATATCGTAGGAGAATCCTATGATATAAAGCTACGTAACGTAGAAAAGATGAAGTTATTTGAGAATCCCAGGACTTCATGCTAGACATATTGATAGCCATTCTTATACATATAATCCTGAACATGCCTCTATATCCTCCATGCATTGAAAAGACCATATCATCTTAAAAAAACTAATTATGATGCATTATTGAGAGTTCTTATAATCGCAAACGATAAGGGTAATATCGATCATTATTCATCATGCCATTTTTTCGATTCTCAAATGTTTCCAAAAAAATAGTAAATACTTCAATGCTAGTCGAGCCAACTCCCGCCAATGACATCGCACATCTTCCTATTTCCATGCATCCCAGGTTTTTGGAGAATCATGATAATGCATTAAATTTCTGTTGAATACATCAGCCATACAACCAACTGTTTTATGAGACAAAACCAGATGATCAACATTGGTCGGAATGATCTCATTTAAAATCAACTTCTCCAACATCACAACGTCATTCATGGCATCGTGCGCCCCAGAAGAACCTCCCAAGTAGTCATTAGCCAATGAAACCAATCCATATGTTTTTCCACACTCACGTCGACCTGGCAAATGATGTCTGAATAACGGTAAAGGATCCGAGAAGCCAATCACAATGTCCTGGAATTGTGCCATCATCTTTTCTCGGTTCAAAATGCCACATAACAATGGCCCATCGAATTTGAAACCATTCTGGGCGACTAGAATGACTTTTTCCCCGAAAGATCTCAGAAATTTGATAAAAGTGCGTACTGCAACGACTCTGGTAACTCCAGTCACCGGTCGTCCACGAGCAAACATTTTATTGTTGATAACAGTAATTCCTGTGATGTTCTTTACAATCTGTGGAATGGGGTTGGTGGGGAGGATGTAGGTTCGATACATTTTCCCTCCACATTTCGCTGCTATCTGCATAATCTCACAGTCAGGCGTCAGTCCTGTCGTCTCAAGGTCGAAGAAGACGATTGAATAGTGTGGATGCGAAGACGATCTTAAGTAGCTTTGGGGCGAGTAGTTGCTGGAAATGGAGACGGCTGCCAGTGGTGACATTGTTGAAGTCGTTTCGATGATTTTGATCTATGAAAATTGTTGGGAAAATTCAGGGGAGAAGGGGCATTCAAGTTGAATTTGTTGTTCTCTACAATGAGATATTTATCAAGCAAATCAGTGATTTCAGGGAGAGTTGTTAAGAGATTTATCTCATCGCTTGACAATTGTCTTCTGACATTTCTCATCAATAATGAGTGATTTCGATACAAAACGCCGAACGACCTTTCCTTCAGCTAATAAAATTTCCAATAGCGAAAGTCTCTTGACATTTATCCTCCAAAATTACTTATTAACGAATTTTTTCAAAAATTCATTACACATTCCACTCGCAAATTTCATATGCCATTTCTCATCAATTCCGCAATTATCTATGGAAATTCGAATGGAAGAGACCTCCTGACATTTCAAAATAATTAGGGAGTTTTTCAACCAATTCACGAACTAATGGCGCAACATGGCCTTTTACTTTTTAAGCCCGGTTAACGATGAATCGGTGATGAGTGAATGCAGGGGAATCTATTATATTCCTGCAGAAAACCAATCCCTGAACAAAAAAATTCTGACCTCCTTCAATTGAATATTTAGATCATATTTAAAGTCTTCAATGGTCAAATAATTTTTGTTATCATTATTCAATTTTTTTCCTGCATCGTGCATGCACAAAACATTTTTCTATACAATTTTAATAATCAATTTGGAAATAATTAATTTGTGAAAAAAAGTGGCAACGCGACCCGGCTGAATACTTTGTTTCTCTGAGTTGGTAAGCCGGTCACGCTCTAGTGAGAGTTCTCGCTGTACAGAGTCACGCGCATAAACACGTAAATTTTTTCCGTGGCGACTTGTTTATGCTAAAAATTTATCACCCACGTCGTTCCAATTTCCTATCGATGAGAAAAATGATAGTAAATGAATCCTAAGGCCTCTCTGTGAAGTGGGTTCAAACCGAGATCACTTTAGATGCACAACTCTCCTTTAAACACGTTTGAATTTACCGCGTTTGAATTTATCCCCATCCGATCGACCGGTGCTACGTTCACAGTTGACAGCTGCGCGTGCGGAAATTCTGATTTTAGTATTTTTTTGTTAATTTTGGCTAAAAAAGGTTCTGAATCAATGTAATTTTTCTTGCAGAAGGTGTATTTATCAGTATGTCACACGTGGACGAAGTTTCGTAACATTGACTGTATATTTGCGTTCATGATGTGGATTTTTCTACATTTGCCAAAAGAACACGGGTTAAATTGCGTTTTTTAAATAATTTATTTTATTTCAAACCATAACTGTAGTTAGCTAAACCAAAAATTAGCACTGACCATCTTTGTTTAATGTCTTTGGCAAATGGCAAAATTCCATAATTCCTGTTCGAGAAAATACATTGCAAAGGTCCATCCTCAATTATGCCGAAACCTAACTTAACGCATTAAATATTGCATTAATTCTTCTGTAAAAATAAGATGCGAACCTACTATTTTCCTGTGTAAAAAAGGGACTTCTACAATAACTATGTTTAATCCACGCTCATTTAATCTACAACTTTTGAGGTTAATCGGTTTATGTAGTCCATGACATGAAGCTGAACGAAATTCTTTGAAAAAGTGGAATCAGGTACTAATCGCAGGATTTGTATCTCATCGATATCAGCATTGTAACAGAAAACTTACCTCGCAGATACTGAGTTTTCCGACAATAGAAAATTCAGTTGTTCCACTGAGCTGATGAAGACGTGATTTTAACACGAATATCCGTGATCCGTGATAAAGGTGAGTATAGTAGGACTGGCGAGATTCGCGATCGTAAAACCGCCGTCAGCGCTATGGCCAAAAATGCGGGACCGTAAAGAACTACTATCTTGCGGAGCTGTTCAGAACCCTAACCTCAAATAGTGCTGAAATGTCAAATTGTTTCAAGTACAAGCCGTGAATTAAATTTTGATCTTATAACCTACCGATTGTTTATGAAAATGGCACAGAACAATTATCTTAAGAATTCGAAAAGAGGGTGCTGTGTTCCACAGTGCAAAGTAAAGGATAAACTGAATTTAAGTTTCCATAGTTTTTCATCCAATTTAATTTTACGGAACAAGTGGATGGAAACATTGAAACTGAGAGGAATTTACGATGAAAACATGAAAGTTTGCAGTCAATATTTCTCTCTTGATGATTATAAAAAGCGGCGTAAGTATTTCATATAGAGATGAATATTCTATAATGAAATTAGCCGAGTCAGTTGAGTCCCTTTTTTGTTAAATATCTCGTAACTGAAAGCAAGTTAAAAAATTTTGGTAATTGACTTTTTTAGGTCTACATTTTTTGTGTCTACATCAATGAATAATTTGCTATTTCATACTCCAGAGCCTTGGCGCACTACCATCAGATTGGTTCCGCAAGATAGTAATTCTACAAACCACCACCAGACGGCAAGAAATCGCTTTTGCGATCGCGAATTGTTCCATTCAGATCAGAGGTGGGGAAATGGAAGCTCGATGGATAACCTGTAATTTGATCACCTTGAAGTTTGCAAATTTCGATCAGATAGTTATTTTCATCACAAGGTCCACAAAGTATTTTCTGACGAATGTGATTATAGGCCTCGCCTTCGGCTCGGCCTACAAAGCCACATTCGTCAGAAAATACTTTTGGACTTCTCACGAAAAGAAATTTTCGACACTAAACAATCGACGCAAAACAAAATTTTTCCCGTCTCTCACATCTCTTGCACTCTATTCAAGTTTTGTTCTTGCTCATCACCTTGTTCCTCCCACAATATACAAAAAGGTCACTCACTCGATGAATGCTCTACACTAATTTCCCTGATTTCTTTTCACTTATCATCCCCATTGAACTGAGTAATCTGACCGATGTTCTTTAAAAATTTAGTTTACGACCTCCCACGTCAGAAGTCAAAAATGAGTTTTTTTTTTCAATTTGAAAATAATCGCAGTCATGATTAATGTTTCAGAAATTGAGTAACATTGTGGAAACATAAAGAATTGAGGAAGAAACCCAAGTGTCCATTTTACCCCGCTTTTGCTTCACCTTACAACTCCTACGATGCCGTCTTATGACAATGTGTTCGTTTTTATAAACTTCAAATGAAGTCGGAACAGTAGATTTGATCCAGTTCAACTCATTATTTAAATCTGGTGTCCATATTGCCCCACCTGCCCCTATTTCAAAATTTTTCTCTGATCGAAATCTGCAAACAGCAGAAGATGAATATATAATTCATACTGTGACGTGATGAGGTTTTCTACCTCCCTTAATTGAGTCGCCAGTCGACTCAAAAACTATTGCTCAACTAGCTACGGTCAGAGCTCACGCGGATTTCTCTCAAGATCTAACGTGACGCGACTAGGATAGGATTTGATTAGGTATTCTTCGTATAAAACAATCGAGCACCACTGTTACATTAATAATTGACAGTATATTGAATAGATAGGTAAAGTATAAAATCAACTGTTAAATGGGTTCGGTTTCGACGCGGATCTACTATAGATTTTTGGCTAGGAGAGGACGTCCGTCCATCTTCAACTCCTGCCGTACTCTGCACTATTCCAGAGCTTCAAAGTCGTTGCTGGCCGAAAATGCTAAATAAGTGTTCTCACGGTTTTTCTAACTAACACGGCCATATGTCCATCACTGACAATGGCTAAGACAATCAAACAGCTCCATTCTGAGAAGCTGGACTCAGGTGTCACCGTGAGACTGCTTATTGAGCATTTGGGACCTTTTCTATCTAGAAAATATTAATTGAATAAAATCGACGTGTGAATATCTCCACACGTCACAATACGTTAATTTTTCTTGAGTTTAGTTAATAGATGCCTCGGACTCCGAGGAAGATGATAAAATTCTTCGAAGGATGACTTCTACATAGTAAAAGAAGAGCTGCAAAGAAGGGGTCGTTAACTATTAACGAATAGTGTAAATCCTTTCATCAATGCAATGCCAAGGCAGTGAAGTCTTAGGAATTGGCTTGAACTCAGACTACGGAAAAAATTTCTATTTTTAAAAAATAAAGATGAACAGAATTGGAATGAATGAAAGAATTAACACCAACTTTCATTAATGAAAATGTTAAAACCATGTTTTATTCACAATGATCTTTATAAAATACGTTTCGTATGAAAAAGCTATCAATTGTCGATCGACTTTTGTATTTTCTACTGAAAAGTTATGCGTACGTGTGCAATTCATTGTAATTACTCTATTTAAGCATGATGTATGTAAAGAATCTTGAAGTGCATCTTCAACGTGTCTCAAAATCCTGATGACTTTTGGTACTTCTTACTCGAATGGCGTCCGGGGCTGACAAACCTCCTGGAAGATCTTCTCCTCATCGTCAACCAAAAGTTCCATGAACTTGCTACAGAAGTCTTCATTCAGCGTGCTTCGCCACTGGTACCTCTTCTGAATCGCTCATAAACATTTCTTCCTGAAGTCACTCAAACCTTCCATAGCCAGGGCACAGAGTGCAACATCTGTCGTTCCGAAAATCATTTTAACAATCCTGGGTAGCATCTTGTTCATCCTCCCAAACTTTTCACAGCAGAGTGTCCATACTCTCTCATAAGGCACATAATACTTCAAACGTAGATGACCCCTGTCTCGTCTCCTTATGAACTCTGCAATATCGTATTTTTCTTCTCTGTAATTCCATATCAAGTAGGCGAAGAACCAGGTGAATCGATTTTCATTCTTATTTTCGTACCCATGTATCCAGCTGTCTACAAACAATACCCATGGAAAACCCATTAGTCCATACCAGGGATCATCTATGCCCCAATCATCCCCGGTACCCCAATCCCTATTTATTCGCTGAAGATTCTCTGGCATGTAATCGAACCCCCTCTCCCCAAGCACATAGACCATGATCTCGCTGTTTGCATTCGTGAAATCGAAGTCTTCGCAGCATTCCAATCTGTCATCCTTCGACAAATTCCTCCAGAAATATTTGAATGCTGATAGACTCCCAGACCTGACGATTCTCCTGATGACAAGACGATTGAAAGCTTTATCATTATGCGTTTGGATTCTACAAAAAATGTCACTGTTCCAGAAGACCGAAGAATTAGGGAATATATCTCTGGTAGGGACCGCGCCATAAATTTTCTTGTACCAGAACAGGGCATAGTCGCATCTGAAATTGCTTTTCGCCCAATCAACGGTGTCAGCGAATTTACGAATGTAATTCTCACTGCAGTAGTAACATAGCTGGGCCCAGGTGTGATAATCGATTGATTCTTTGTCACTGACATAGGACTCCACTATTTTCTTACCATCAAGTTGACCAATATCGTTCCAGAAAATGTTACATGCGAAATAGGACATCTTTTCAGTCAGACTTGGATCCCTCCCCCCGGACACATCGAGTAGAATCCAGACCAACCAGCGAAATGCCTGTTCATACATTTCCCACGCGTAGAAGCTCAAATGATCTTTTATGGATCTTGGCAGCCGCAATGTGTCAATTAAATCAATGCATTTATGAGTTGCTGGACGTATTTTCATCTGGATACGCATGGGTAGCTGGTCAATCCCGGTTACAATCAATGGTTGCGAGATGTCGACGAACATGTTCTTGATGTCATCCCCAATTTTTAAGTGACTCCATGACCATTGAATTATCTTCACGGATGCAAGGTGCCCCAACGATACATTATTGAAAACCCAGGGCTCAATCCCTGACATTGTGCAAACTGATTAATTTTACACTGAGTCGAAAATTTATTCACTTTTGAGGGGACAATGTTTCAGTGCAGCGTTATGAGAATCGCCACTTCGTTCGCCATTTTGAACAGTACGCATGGCGGATGGAGGGGGAAACGATCGTCGTAAATGAGCACCCACGGATATCATCATATACTGTGCAGACAAATAATTAATTATAAATTTTAATTGATAGGAATTGTTAGAGAATCGTTTGGGCATATTTAGGAAAGTATTTTTGTGATTTGGGAAATCATTTTGCCGGACAGACGAGCAATATTTGATTTGGGAAATGAAATGCAATTCGCGATGTTAAATGAGCGTCAGATGGCGCTGATGAACACAAAAATGGCGGACCTAAAACGTACCGATTCAAATATTTTAGTAAACAATCTATAAATTATTCTAGGTTATAAGTATACGTGACGTGAGGGCCTTCAAACCGTATAATTATTAATAATTATTAATATGAGCGATCTATTGGAATTAAATTTGGAGGATATATTGAACTATGTTGGGGATGTGTTCAGAGCGGAAAATAAACGAGCGTGTGTCGAAGGTGATAGAATTGTCACGTCTGATTTTATATTTCACATTGGGGTCACTAAGAAGACTGAGAACAGAGTAAAAATCTCTGCCTGGTGTGTCAAGTCTTCAGCAATTCATGAGACTCCTCATTAAATAAATATACAAATTAGTATAACAAATAACAACAAGTCGATCGAATGTGTATGCACTTGCAACGCTGGCTCTTCAAAATGCAAACACATTGTGGAAACATTAATTTATCTGAAACAGTAAGTAATTATCTCCGACATTTAAATATTGGACATTCGTATTTCTATTATTTGATAATCTCATTAATTGCCACCATGTTTCATTCGACCGGGAAAATTTGGTACGTTTTACGTCCGCCATTTTTTTGTGTGGCAGCGCCATCTGACTCTCATTTAACATCGCGAATAGGATTATAAGTACGATTTAAATACGGGCTAGGAGTGAAAGGGAAACCACGGAAAACCCCACAGTCGTACAGCCGACCGATATTGCAGGGTTCTACTGTGCCCATCTGTCACACTGACTGAATGGATACAGCAGTTCTCTGCATGCGCGCCTGACAGCAATAGGAAATATGCAAGGTGCCCGCTGCAAGGTGTCAGTAGTTATTCTACTATTCTAAAAATTCTAAGAGATTTAGAATTTAGAGAGAGAAAATCTCCGCTTCACCCAGCCGGGAATCGAACCCGGGTCTCCCAGATACGTAGTAGATTTCCAGAAATTAATTTCTCACTAGAATGCCCCGATGGAAGGATTCAGATTATTACTAACGAGTGGCTCAAAAATGAACCTGGCATATGAGACAATATCAACATTATGATGAATAATGTGGGTTTTGGCTAAACATCTTCAATGTGAGCGTGACTACAAATAAAATCAATCAAAATTCAATCATAATAAAGTCTTTCTTTCGCTTAAGCTTCAATCCGAGAGTTGGGTTTTGCAAAAGTTGAACTTTTGCATCTTAAATGATAGGAAGCAAAGAACTGTGGCGACAATTAATTACCCACCATTCTCGTTATTTAATTGTCCTTCTAAAAACGCTACATCGATTGAGTTCATCCTTTCCGTTAGCCGTATTTCCTGAGCTACGAGCCGGTAGTTCATTGATTGCGTTTTCCCAATCACTATTGTGCTGAGGAGTCACACGCCTTAAATTTTTACTTGTGCATTCGTGAATCATAAGGTCTAGATTTCTCCAACTGAAACGATAGAAAGTAAAAAAGATTGATGAATATTTTTATATTCAGCCGAATGCCAACAACGATTGATTGCCTACCATTCTCGTCGTTCTATTTTCCTATCAGGAACGCCCGGTAGATGCAGTTTCATCTTCCCCTTAGCCGAACTTCCGAACCGATGAACCAGTAGTTCTCCAATGAAAATGGTGATAGCAAGGGAATATCCCAATACACCGAGTAGAATAAGTTCTCTGAGCAATTGAGTCCGCGATTCTTCGTCCATCTCGCCTATGCGATTATGGTTGTCAGTTTGCAACGATAAAGGATTGTCAGCTGGTGAGTACCAGCCACTCGACAAACCCGTCTCTTGAAGTCTCTTGATAACCTCGATTATTTCTCTCTTACCGGGGATACCCTCCCGAAACCAAATACATTCAGTTCGAGACGCAAAAATGGGCTTTGCAACTTTCAATCGATGTAGGCCATTGTTTCTGCGCAGCCAGAATCGGGAAGCGTACATCGTTCTTGCATCTGTCAAACAACAAACATTCCGATACTCTACTGCCTTTTCCAAGCAGGATACTAAGGTTCCTTTCACATGTTTCTTTTTCAAATTCAATTTAGCCCCATCTGCTCCCACGAAAGCATCGTTAACATCGTACCACTGCATCATTGGTGTCGAGCATGAATCATCAATTTGCTCGAATGTTTCATACTCGTTTTCCACAAAAGGATCAATACCGAGATTTATCAATGAAGCGTAAATGTCGTTGGAGTACATGAAAGACACTACGACGATGGCCAAGAATAACATCCTTTGGTTAGTTCTCAAGGGCTGATGATGCACTACCATTAACGACAGCGCACTAAAAATGGCAAATGCGCTCCAAATTTTTCCATCGAAATTCAAAATAATCGCTACCAACCAAATTAGTGCGAAAATTATTAATGAGATGACAGTACTCGCAAGGGCTTTATTTATCAGGGCTTGGTTTATTGCATACGTCGTTGGCATTACCATGATCAGCTCTTGATCTTTCATCGCCTCTAGGATGAAGGGTTTTATGTGTAAATCAGATAACAACATGGATGACAAGGGACCCATTATATCCACTTTTTCAGTTTTATTATAGTAGCTTAGAAGAGCTCCGTAGGTATAATTGCCACGCCAGCCCTTCCATTCGCCTCGTAAGAATATTTGCTGCGTAGTAGTGAAGTTCAGTACTCGCGTGATGTCTTCATATAGTTCGAATTTCTTGCGGACGAAGAATGATTTTTTTTTATCTTTATGTTGGCCGTATCGAAGTGGCCAGATGTAGTTACCAAGTGATTTCATTACATATCCGTGCATATTTTTTGCAAAATTGGGGAATAATTTGACCCCGTTGTGAAATTCTTCGTGAAAGAATTGTTTGCTGAAAAAATTGAACTGATGCATTATCAGTTTGACTGAGTTGGCTTCGTTAAATTTTCCATTCGCTCCGTAACATTTCAACTTTCCGCAACCGAGAACTTTTGTATTATCTGCGGATGCTACAGTGCGCTTTTCAGAGTTTAACCGACGAATCTCGACAATCAAGATATTCGACATTGATATGTCCCAGGCATACTGCAGGATATTTTCTACAGGTCTAGTCAAATTCGATGATGTTCTCAATACGATTAGAATATAGTTTACAGAAAAATCTGTTAGTTTCTTCATCGCATGCATCACTTCATATATTTGGACATTGTCCCCAGAATAGTCTGCATAGAATATGAACAGAAGAGAAGAAGTATTTTTCGACACAACACCAAAATCCTGTTCTTTCAAGTTAATAACTCCACCGTCTACTTCAACTATCACACTTGGCATGGTCCCCATGATTTTACCAAACAATTCGTTCTTCACTACATCAGAATAATCTGCAATACGTTGATGTATAATCAATACTGTGTGGACTTCGCCGGAGCGAAATAGTCGTGTAGCCACACTGTCAAACCAGTCAACTTCTGGACGACTTTGGATTTCGTCTACTAGAATCGTGATGAGGAAGATCACCAGTAAAGTCTTTATAATACACATGATTGATCGCTGTTTTGAGTTGAAATGTTACCCAAGAAGACGGCAACTGCTGACGGAAGTAGATTTTGACATCACCGCGGAGCTGAATTTCGATTTTGTATGATCAATTGAATAATCAGTAGATTATTTGCTCTGCCAAGGATCTGATGATATTTGATGATTTTGAGGAGTCAATTCACCCTCAAAAACATTTACGCCCGATGATATTTACGAATGATTCATTTGTCGAATTTCACAAGCACTGATAACTCTCATTGATGACTCATTGATTGTTCATCATAAGCTGATGAGTTTTACTGTTAATTTTATCTGAAAATGTCTATAATTCACTGATAATGATCCGCTGACTTCACTGCAGAAAATAGTCCCTGGCTCGATAATTGATATTAAATTAAGTTGCATTACAATAAACTGCATAACTATAATATAAACTACACAACGATTTACATGCGAAATGCGTTGAGGTACTTTAGGAATCAGCAAAGAACCGGTAAAAGTGACTGAATATTTTCCACCCCGAAGTTTGCTGAGAGACTATTGAATGTTGTGGATCACCCAACAGCGGTTGATGAGGAACTTCCCACACGAGGGGGGATTTGTATGAACGATAATGTTTTGGATGTTTTGAATGAATGATGAGATTTTCCTGAATAACCACTTGGTTTAGGGAAGAATAATAAATTACGATGAAAATATTTTTCATGTGGGATATCACTACACGGAGAGAAAAATCAATGAAACATTACCCGAAAATACCCTTGAAAAATTATCAAACAGTGCACAGTTCAGATTCACTGAACCTAAAGTGGAATTTATTCATCTTTATGGGACTTTTCCACCAATAGCTCATAAAGTTTACTGTTCGTTCATCAATTATAATAACATACAGTTTGTTGATTAAATTTTTCCTTTATTTACATTTTTTCTCTTGATTTCAAACGAAAATCCCTAAGATCCATTTTTCTCTCAAATTATTGAGATTGTTTGGTCATTTTTGTTTAAACTTTTGTCGCCGTGTAATATTAAGAAAATTGATTGAATGATCGAATGAAAAGATGAATATTTTGATTAAAATTTTTAGAATTACCCGAGTTAAATTATTTGTGACTCAGGAGCATCTTTTAACACGATACGACATACAGCTCTTTTGAAATACCCATGAACCTATTAATTAAGGATGCGCAAAAATATGGACATTTTCCCTGCGCCTGCAACTAATCCAAATAATGTGAAAGTTAAAACCATCGATTATTGTCCGAAAAATGTCTGCATTCAACACCAACACTCAGAATTCAGTAGTGAAGTGGTAAACGGAGATGAGTCGACTGATCCCCCAGTTGAGTTTTTGAAGAATATTTCCGAATCTAAAGGAGATAACGAAATTTTCGTAATGACATTTGTTGTAGCATTCAATCTGCTCCATAAAAAAAGGTTATAACAAAAATTTTGCTATCTCCCTTAGATTCCCAGATATTCATTGAAAACTGGTCAATAGTCAAAATTGACTTATCCCCTTTTACCACTTCGCTATTGAATGCAATTCATAGAAAAATCTTCCTGTCGTTCAAGCTTTACTGCACGCGTTGGTTTTGCAGATTTTTTTTGCGATGAGAAGTACCACGACTTGAAGCGAACTGAGGCAACAATTGATTGCGGACAATTCGTGTCATTTAATTGTTTAAAAACGTAGGATGAATTGAGTTTAACCTGCCCCTTAGATTAATTTCTGGAGCGACGAACCAGTAGTTCACCAATTTTATTCAGCAGATTCCTCTTGCACTGGGAAGCAATACGAGTTAAATTTTTCAGCGTGCAGGTATGAATAATGCGCTGGCCCAGATTTCTCCACCTCAAATGACAGGGAGCAAAAATCATTAATAGATCTCAACGGAGATTAATTGAGAGAACAATTGATTGCATACCATTCTCGTTGTTTGATTGTCCTTTCAAAAACGCCACGTCGCTTGAGTTTATCCTTTCCCTTGGCCGAATTTCCATAGCTATGAGCCAGTAGTTCATTGGTTGTGATTTGCAGATTACTGTGGTGCTGAGGAGCCACACGTGTTGAATTTTTAAGCGCGCAGGTGTGAATAATACGAAGGTTTAGATTTTTCCAGCTGAAATGATGGGAAGTAAAAATGATTGATGAATATCAATTCAACAGAATTGAAACGACGACTGATCGCATACCACTCTCGTCGTTTTATTTTCTTTTTAAAGACGATCGGTACATTCAGTTTCATTCTCCCCTTCGCCGAATTTCTGTACCGATAAACGAATATTTCCACAATGAGGACGACGATAGCAAGGGAATATCCCAACGCACAGAGCGAAATAAGCTCTCTCCGCAATTGAGTCCGCGATTCTTCGTCCATCTCGTCTGCATTATTATGTTTGTTAGTTCGCAGCCATGAAGGGTCATCATCTGTTGAATACAGGCCACTCGAGAGACCCGCTTCGCGATGTCTCTTGATAACCTCGATCGTTTCTTTTTTACCGGGGGTACCTTCCCAGAACCAAATAGATTCAATTCGAGACCCAAAAATTGGTTTTGCAATTTTCAATAGATGTAGATTATTGTTTTTACGAAGCAAGAATCTGGATTCGTCAATCCTTTGTCTGTCTGTTAGACAACACACATTACGATACTCTAATGCCATATCCAAACAAGGCATTAAGGGTCCATTTACACTTTTTTTTTTCAAATTCAATTTCACTCCATCTGCTCCTTCGAAAGCTGGGTCAACATCGTACCAGCTCGTTATTACTGTCGAGCATGAATCATCAATTTGTTCGAATGTTTCATACTTATTTTCCACAAAAGGATCAATACCAAGATTTGTTAAAGACGCGTAAATATCACTGAAATACATAAAACCCACTATGACGATGGCGAAGAATAATAGCCTTTGGTTTGTTATTAAGGGCTGGTGATGCACTGTGATTGAGAACAGTGCACTGAAAATAGCAAATGTGTTGCAAATTTTTTCATCAAAATTCGAAATAATCGCTACCAACCAAATCAGTGTATAGGATTAATAAGATTACAGTACTCGCAACGGTCTTATTTATTAAGTTTTGGTTGATTTTGTACGTGATTGGAATTATCATAATCAGTTCTCGTTCTTTCATTGGCCTCAAGAGAAAGGGTTGTATTATTGAACCACTTACCGATGTGGTTGACACCGGACCGACTATATCTACTTTGTTAATTGTCCTGTAGTAGTCAGTGAGAGCTTCGTAGGTATAATTGCCACGGCAGCCTTTCCACTCGCCTCTTAAAATTAGTTGTTCCCTAGTGGTGAAGTTCAATACTCGAGTTAAGTCATCAATCAACGCAAAGGCCTTACGTACCAATGATGAGTTTTTCTTATCTTCATATTCGCCGTATCGAAGTGGCCGATTGTACCCACGAAATGTTTTCATTACATGTCCATGCATATTTTTTGCAAAATTGGGAAATAACTTGACCCCGTGGTGAAATTCCTCGTGAAAGCATTGTTTGGTGAAAAAATTGAATTGATGCATTATCAATTTGACTGAACTGTCTTCGTTGATTCTGCCATTTGCTCCGTAACATTTCAATTTTCCGCAACCAAGAAAATGTGAATTATCTGTGGATACTTTAGAGAAACGAATCTCAACAATTAAGGTGTTTGACATTTATATATCCCAGGCATGTTGCAGAATATTTTCTACAGATCTAGTCAAATCTGATGTTCTCAGTACGATGAGAATATAGTTTACTGAAAAATCTGTTAGTTTGTTTATCGCATTCATCGTTTCATATATTTGCACATTATCCCCAGAATAGTCTGCATAGAATATGAACAGCAGAGAAGAAGTGTTTTTCGACACAACACCAAAATTCTGTTCTTTCAAGTTAATAACTCCACCGTCTATTTCAACTATCACATTTGGCATGGTCTCCATGATTTTACCAAACAATTCGTTCTTCACTGCATCAGAATAATCTGTACTACGTTGATGTATAATCAATGCTGTGTGGACTTCGTCTGAGCGAAGTAAACGCGTAGTCACGCTGTGAAACCAGTCAACTTCTGGACGACTTTGGATTTCGTCTGCTAGAATCGTGATGAGGAAGATCACCAGTGAAGTCTTTGTAATAGACATGATTGATTGCTGTTTTGAGGCGAAATGTTATTGAAGAAGACGGCGACTGCTGACGAAAGTAGATTTTGATATCAGCGCCGAACTGAATTTCGATTTTGCATGATAAATTGAATAATCATGGAGTCAATTCATTCTCTGCAACAGTTGTACCCAATGATATTTACGAATGATTCAATTGTCGGATTTCACAAACACTGATAATTGCCGTTGATGACTGCTCATCATAAGCTGATGAGTTTTACTGTTAATTTTTACTGAAAATGTCATTGATAATTCACATTAAATTAAGTTCCATCACAATGAACTGCACAACTATCAACAACATAATGATGTACGTGCGAAATGCGTTGAGATACATTAGGAATCCACAATGAATCTGTGAAAGTAGCTGAATAACTTCTACCCCGAAGGGCGCTGAGAGATTATTGAATGTCGTTGATTAACCAACAGCGGTTGGTAATGAACTTCCACCGCGAAGGGCGATTTGTACAAACAAAAATAATATTTTCCATGTTTTGAATGAATGATGAGATTTTTCTGAATAATATCTTGTTTAGGGAAGGAGTTCAACGTACTGTAATGTAATGGATGATGGATTCTTTTTCAGAAAAAATAAAAGGTGAATATTATATCACATTGTAAGGAAGGAATAATATATTATGTTGTGCTACCTTCACATTCAATATTGAAGGAATGGTGATGGAAATAACGAAATAATGGTAGACGAGGAAATACTGGGAATTTTTCAGCGGAAAAAAAGTGGGTTTCAAACTTTTGGATTTTTCCTTCAACGCGAGAGATTCAAATCTCGCAGATCTCCCAGTTTCACTCGTGTTACGTCCTCCGGTTTCTATGTCAGCATCTTTGAGCCCTACGAAAGAGGAAGGGAAAATGTGGAGAAAGAAAGGGCTGCTTCTGCCACACCCCTTATACCCTTTCGTGAAACCGGTCTTTTCATTTTCCATTTCCTTTATCTTCCCGAGCTCTCAATGAAATTTGCGCATCACGACGGATTTTCTTCTATTTCTCTAAATTTATGAACAACTGTTAGAATTTGAATTCAATTTCAGGCTAAATTGCTCATGGAATTCCTGATTCAACTTGTTTACATTTATTACCTAAATTACGGGTATTTAACAACGTCATGTAAAAAACTACCTTTATCAACAGACGCCAAACCCTGCTTACAGCTGGAATANCTCAACGGTAAAAAGACCTACTTCTCATGCTTAACTACCGTCGGTAAAAGAGCCCTTTTTGGGCTTGAGCAATGAAAAGATTATTATAGTCCTCGTCAAAAAAGAATGGTCGTGGTTGGGTACCCCCACTCTCTCGAAATTAGCTCCGACTCAACGGCCCCTACCACTCAGATCCAAAATCATTCTTTCCTGACGGCGACGATACTAACGTGTGGATCGACTATAAATCTGGCAAATAGAACAATATCACAATTATGTTCACTAATGTGAGTTTTGGATGAACGTCCTTAATTTACTTTTAAAAAAATATCTAAAAATTTTAGCTTTATTAACAAAAATATACGACAGTCATTGATACTTATAGTTCAGTGGAGGGGGCCTGGAAGGGCCTACGCTCGATACACTAGTGCCTATTTAATCTATGGTAAGAGAGTTAATTGAAGTCAGAAACATCTTCTGCTCGGTGAGCACACTTTTCCTATCCCTTGATTTTACACTAACAATTACATATTCTATAATAAAGGTTCTATAATAAGAATTCATATTTTCATAGAAAGACGACTTTAAAAAAAAGATACAAAAGTATACAAATAGACTAAAAAAAATTTTGAGGGGGGTATGTTTCTTCCACGTATTGCTGGAAGACTTTGAAGGCTTCGAAGGTTTCGATGCCAACAGGTACAATACGACTAGCTGGTGGATCGAATCTTCCACCTGGCAGTTCGATGGTGTAGGATAAATCTACGCCTGCAACTCCCAGGGCCCAATCGTCACTACCGCCAGCAGCAGCATCTGTTGAGTAAGTATTTCCCTCTTCAATCTTTTAATTGTAAACACATTTAATTGTAAATGATCTGTGTTGAATTGTACATGAGGGTAATAATATTATAATATCTCATTCGGCAGATTTCATTCAGATCCATTCAGTTTATGATTCAAACTGAGAAGGAAAATTATAGTCATTCATTTCCCGTAAACATCAGTAAATTTTAGAACTTTGTCGTGCTAAAATCGAAAGGAAAAACAATCCAGAAAATGCGTTGAATTTTCTCATGTTTTAAGAAAACTTTTTCTGAAAATCTGGGAAAAAAGTTCAGTAACACTATAGAATACCCCCTCACCTTAGATTTATGATTTAAATACTGATTCGATACTTTTTGACGAGTTATTAACGGGAAAAATGCTAGCAAAAGATCACTCAGAAGAAATCGAATTAATGCGGTTGTTCTGAGGTGTAAAAATTAGTTGTTTTTCGTTATTCCACGTTGTAATCATACGTAATCGAAATATTATAACAAAAAAAAAGGGCGGAAAACAATGAATTTTAGCATTTGCTAAAAAGAGGAAAAAAATGAAAACTAAAGAAAAACATTTTCTCATGATCTAATAAATATAAAGCAAAACGGATACTTAGGTTTGTTCGTTGAAGTATAGCGAACATTTAAAAAAAAAAAGTAGAAATCGGATGAAAACTGTGGTCCAAGGAGCATTTTTAAGCTAAAAACGTGAAAAATGGCGTTTTTGGTAGATATACGGGGCAAAACGGTTCGGGTCCGAAATTTTTCTCACTTTTTTATATATCCCTTCATATATCAAAAGTCATCCAATGGCTCTTAAGGCCGAGCCGAGACTTTCAAATTTCACTGCGGTCTCCCCTTAAGCACTTTGTACTCGAAATGAGTGGATTTTTTACACGGAATTTGAGGGATTTTTCTTTGGAGAGTCGGTAACTAGTTTTTCATTCTCAGTACAATACCTCCTAGAACCATTAATTCCTTAAAATCAGTAATTTGGTTCTGGAAACTAGAAACTTTTTTTTTATATGTGTAACAATAAAATCAATCGCAAATCCGAAATTTATACTCACATAAGACATTTGTGGAACTTCCAACAACATATTCAGTTCCGTAAATTTGATAAAGAGCCTCGGCAGCCATTATGCCAACTTTGCGCTAGGATAAGAAGTCATATCATTAGAGAGAAATTTCTGTCCAAAATTCATATATTAGTAGAAATTATTAATTAATAATTACTCATGTTAAACTTACAAGGAGAGGTTCAGTGTCGGGTAGAGCTGAAGTCCAGCCCCATGGATGCAACAGGTACTAGAGGCATTCAACAAATTTTGACTTTATGATCTAAGGTTTCACGGCATAAAGCTGCATTGTATAATTCAATTTCATAATTAAATTTCACTCACCTGTCCGTAAGAATGGAGAGTCAAATAAACCTTTATAGTATTGTTGTTAGCTAGCATGAAGTTCCTGACGGCTTGCGTCTCTACTTCTGAGAATGCTTTGCTACCGGCGTAGGTATCTGCGCAAGGATTGCTGGATGCACCAATGGCTGAAAAGAAATATTAGGAGTAGGAAAGGTGACTCAATTAAAAATTCATTGAACTTCCATCTTTTCTTCTGACGCTTTCGTTAGAAAAAATTGAAGGAAATATTTTTTTGATAATTTGATGAAAGGCATTCTTATTGTTTTAAAACCTAATTATAACTATATGGAGTGTTCTACACTGTTAAAAATGCATTAAAACTTTCAGTACACTGCTTGAATATTCTTAGTTCCAGCTCTACTAAAATCTCAAGGAATATGCGTCCCCGAATAGAATATCTTTTCGTTACAAATCTATGATACAATCGAGTTTGTTAACGATGAACCGGCAAGGTAAAAAAATGCAACCAATTTGATATAGTACATTTCGACACTAGGCCGTGAGGAAGTTTTCTGGCGAATATGAGGTTACAGGACGAGCCGAAGGCGAGTTCGGTAATCATATGAGGTAGAAAAGTTCCCACGGCTGTGTCGAACAATATTTTTTGTCGCCAGAAAAGTTTTTTTCGGCCTAATGACGAAATATACTATTTTGTCATTAGGCCCGAAAAAATTTTTTCATTACGCTGTACGTAAAACGCCGTTTACGGAGATTGTAAAGAAAAATTATGCTCGTCATGCGGCCGAAATAGAACTTTCCTGACTGGATTGATTGCATTCCTCAGCTTCGCTTCGTTGTTTTTTTTGCCTTATGACGAAATAGTATATTTCGTTACGACACGGAATTTTCACGAGTGTGAAGCTGGCGGCTCGAAGCGAAGCCTAGCCACCAACTTCACACTTGTTGAATAATTGAATAGTGATAAAAAAAATTTTTAGCCATAGAAGATTTTAAATAAGACCTAAATATTTACGTGAAGGGAACAGAGTTTTTCTGTTCAGGGATTGGTTTTCTGCAGGAATACAATAGATTCCCGTCCGCCTCACCTACATTTAGTCATCGCCGGTTCATCGTTAATGCTGCAATCGAAGTATCTTCATGCAACTTGAACTTAATTAGATTATGCGCCGGAATAAAGCGGCCATGTCTCACTTAATTCGAAAAAATCTTGCGAGAGAATGTCATCTAATAACTGTTTTCAATAATTTCACAAAAACATTAAATAGAAAAGCTACTCTAAAATGCGGTGAGCGACTAGCCACTATTTTTCAATTTCTTCCGTTCACTGAAATAGCTGAATAAAAACTCACTCATCCATTTAAGATCGAAGTTCCTGTTAGCGTCGGTGCCTACACATTTAGAATTCGGATTGGGTGAACGCGTCTTTCTCCAGAATCGGTACTATACAAAAATCATAATTGTTTAATAATTCTGCGATTACATGCCGTTCGATTGGAAACTCTATCCATTATTGACTTGATAATGTCGCTCGATACTTACGCTTGCGTGAGTGAATTCGTAACCATCAGGGTTAAGACTGGGAAGAATGTACCAATCAACATTTGCGTACAACTTGCTGTTAGTTTTATTGTTCACCAATTGATGAAGTGCGTAGAGTGCAGTTGATGGTGCAATCCACTCACGAGCGTGGATTCCAGCGTCGATGAAGATCGCGGGCTTATTCTTTCCACCACTAGAGATCTTCACGACGTAGATTGGCCTGCCTTCATAACTTTTACCAATTTCGATGAGCTGAGTAGTTTTATTGTAGAGTCGAGTGAGTTCCTTCAAGTAACTCTCAATCTAAAGATAAAGTAATGTTCCATGGTTAGATAAATCATCAATAAGTGACCGAACATTACTCTTCACAATAGACTACCTATCCACTATAAATTTCTAGTCTGAGAAAGCAGATTATTGTCAAACCAATATTATTTCTGTCAATTTTCGGACAAAGTTTTCGAGACTTCGATGAAATCTCGTTTGCCTCTAGACAATATTCCCTTGACTACCACTTGGATTTATTATTCTTTCAATGCGTTTTGGTTTATTCACAAATCGATAACAACATTCGACACATAGGTGAGTGTCATTTTGAAATAGGGGATTCCCAGTATGGCGCTAGAGCGTAGGCGGTAGCTTATGCACTCACCTTTTCGGGTGAGGCGAGCCCGCATTTTCAGGGAATTATTCTGTGGTTAATAATTTCACTTCAAGAGAGCTACCAGCGACGGAAATCACAATGTAGTATTTTCCCTACACTAGACAGTCGTCACGTAAGTCATTAACATTCATTACTCTGTCATTGATGAAACAATAAATACCCGAGTCGAGAATTTGGTTCTGATTGGACGTACACAGGTCTTTCAAGATCTCTCCAGACCTAGATGGACCTGGTAAGTCCTAATCAGTTCTGCGACGTACTTTTCCAGAGACCTTTCGAATCCTCAGTTCTTTTCGGTCCTGAGAAGTCCTCCTCGATGCTACCGAGAATGCGTGATTTTACGAGCGAGTGAAGGGGAAGGCATGTATGCGGAGGGTTGAAATTTGTAGCCAACGAGGAGACAGGGTTGCAGAATATATTTTAGCCACCCTCATCTCCCCGTTTGCAGGCGGTGTTTAAATAAAAAATAGTGAACGTTGATTCTGTATTTATTGACCCCCTGATGCCAATGAAACCCTCGGAGGTGACAGAAAAGGGGAAAAAAAATTTTTCATTTTCACGTGGGTCAAGGGTGAAAGTCGATTTTCGCCAAAATTGAATTTTTTCGCCAAGTGAAAGTTCATTCTGTATTTTCCAACAATTCTGATGCCAATGAAACCCCCGACGGCACGACAAACG